GTGTTTGTAAGCACTCAGAAAAGGGGAGAGCACACACTGGGAGCTGAAGAAGACTGACATTGTTCAATGTTTTCATTACAGCCAGGAGGCCTTGAGCAGATGAGGCCTCCTCCTGCCAGGTGGTGCATGATCACACAGTAAATACCTGCATCAGAAGCTTACTCTGCCAGGGAAATCAGACACCACTCCCTGCTCCAGTTATTCTTCAATAGAAACTCTATCTCCCCACTCCAACGCTCCATAGCAATGCCACCCCAGAATGTCACCTGAGGAGATGTGCTCCCTTCCTGTGTGAGAAGTGCTCGCCTCCAAGTAGAAGGGGAAAATTCCAAAGGTAGCTTGGAAACATGCTAAAAGGAGATTAAGAAAAAAATAATAAAAACTGTGGGGAGAAGGAAGCTGAGCAAGACCAGCACCAAAGAGCTGATGGGAGCGTGTCCTTAATCCATATGGCAAGTACAAAAATACTGCTGAGCTTGCCAGATACTACACAAATACAGAGTTTTTGCCAAGCTACAGAAAGACTCTTTCTTCAGGTTTCTTACCGAGTAGGATTCCAATTCTGAACCCATGGAGTCCCAGCAACTTGAACAAAGCTATTCATGAAATTCAGAGCAGGTGCTGATGAATAGGGGAGGAGCAGGTTGGCAAGAAGGAGGAAAGAAGTTTATGGGAGTGGAAATTGTTTTTTCATGGAACATCAATGACTTTTTGGAACATTTTTGAAACTGAGGGTAGGGGATTGTAATAAAACTTTCCAAATAAAGCTTGAAGTGTAAACCAGCTGATATGAAGGGAGTGTGTAAAACCTGCAAAAGTTGTATTTTGAGCGTACACTGTAATGCCCCAGCAGAGTTATTGCTGTAACACTCTAAGAAACCAGTGACCAGCTCTTCGTGTCATTCAGCAGGTGACAAGGTGTGACAATCCATCCTGCATGGAAGGTTCTGCTCTGATGCATTCACACAAGTGATGTAGTAAATTATGCCAGCAGTGTTTCTCAAAATAATATTTGACAATTCTGCTTGAAGATAGCTGGCTAATTTGCAAACAGAGCCAAGATTTGCTTTGAGTTTATTAATTTTTCCTTTTCTGATAAGCTTCCAAGTTCATTTAGCAATGAGAGTTTGTAGAAGAGGAGTGACATCCATGTAGGCTCCCTGCATTTTGCCATGCTTGTTTCTCTAAAGTTTGTGTGCCAGCTCAGGAGCAATAATATCAAGTGACTTCAAAGGACAACTGCTCCCAACAATCCACAATGGCTTGTATTTCAACTTGTTAACCAGCACAGCTCACCAGACCTGTTATTTCAAGGCCTCTGCTGCTCTTTTCATGTACTAAGCTACATTCCCAGTGCAAATTAAAGGGGGGGGAATCCTGAAGTCATGTAGAACTTGGGAGGGAGGTCGATTTCTGCATATGTGTCTCCAGACATAGGAACACAGATTATTTTTAAAGTAAACCTGGAACATATGTTTCATGCAAGGAGTTAATAATAAAGCTTAATGACATGTTTTCCTTTTCTCCCACCCACCTACCTGCTTCCCTCCTCTGACTGTATCTTGTCTGAAACCTGGACCATAGGTTCTTTGAGGAAGGATCTGTCACCATAAACAACCAGACTGTGATTTGGCTGCCTACATGCTGGTTTGGAATCTGTGGCAATAATTAATAGGTCGTTCACTTTGCATGTCAGTGGTGTTCATTACAGTAAATGTATTTTCCTCCCCTCTTGAAGGCATCAAACGATATTCCCACAAAGTGCTTATTCAAACTGGCAGATCTCTTACACGGGCTATGAACAAGAAATATATCAAATTCGACACAGGGTTTTCATTCTGATAATATTGCTTGATAGTGGCTTTTTGAAACAAGGTCAAAGCTAAGAGCTGCACTGTCTGGCTTATTTTGGGTTTAATATAGGTGAGTGTAGCTGATGTCAAACAAGTTTCAGCTCCAGCCTCAGTTTTCCACTTTCCAAACCTTCACTTAGACTGTGAGTGGGGCATATTTACAGCCTGAAGGAAGACTTGCCAGCATGCGAGTCAGCATAAAACAGTGCCCATTGCTGAAAGGATCAGTTCCATCTTTCCAAGCGCCTTTGATTTCTCATTTTTACCACTATACCATGTCATTGCCAAAAACATTTCTGTGACTGTGCATTGAGTCCCATCAGGGCCTCACCTAAATTAAAGTTTATCTTTTTTTGTCACTGCCTGGTCCCATGAAATCCTGTATAGGCACAGAATGTAGGGTCAGAAAAAAACATGGCCAAGGGCAGCAAACACACAGGACCTGTGTAGGAGTGCTTTTTAATGCTTGTTTAAACGGTGCCTGAAACTAAGGCCTGTTGTGACTCTGATTTGTATCTCCTGGACAAAACTTTTGATTTCTGTAGCTATTCTCTGAGAAAAGCCTGGTGGCTTCAGTCTATGATGATTCCTTTGAGAAGCAGGCTGTTGAATAGATAGGGCAACGTGATACTACACACGACTTACATAAGTTGCAGTGCTGTTAGGTTTTTATTCAATTCATGGCTGTCTACATCTGTCTTAGGAAGAGAGAAAGATTAGGTTGGAATGGACTCTAAAAGATAGTATGGTATTCTATGTACTATCCATACCATACTATGATATGGCTAGTACATAGAATGGTGTTAAAACTTCCTCAAAACCTGTGTTTGTTGGATCTTTCACCTCTCTCTCGGTGGTGCCAGAAGGTAGATTTCCATCATAGTGTTGGTCAGGGCTATTTTCTGCTGCTATCTCCCTCTCCCATTCTGTCTGAACTGCAAAGGAGATAAAAGTTCTGCCCTTCTACCTGTGGCTCTGAATCAGCTCTCCTAACCCTTGGCTATATGCCCAGGAAAACCCCACAGCCAAATTCCTTGACAAGCATCCTGTGGCTTGTCTCTATTATCTGAGTGAGGATATACAAGCCCAGAAGAAGGGAAGGGAGAAGTGCCTGGTCCAATGCAAACAGTGATTTCCTCTTCTATACTAATGCTTTAATAATGGTTTGAGAGCGATGGGGATTTGTGAGGATGCTGCAGTTCAGTCTGTGAGCCTCTTGCACTTCTGTTTAAACATCAAAACACACTCCAGTAGGTGCTCCTAAGAATTCACTCCAGCTCCCACCAAACCCTTGAGACTACAGTGCAGTGCTCTCAGCAGCTCTGCAGGGCCACGATCTTATCTGGGCTACGCAGAAGCCAAGAGCAAGCACCACACGGTGCCCGCAAGCATGGCCCTCAGCAGCCTCAAGCAGAAGGGGGTTCATCCTGATTTTATGGATTTTCCTAGCTGAGGATGAGTAGGAAGACTCTGCGGTACAACTTTGAATAATTCCCTGCCTTCCTTCAGCTCGTGCTTCACAGACTGCCTGATGCCTCTATCAGCAGTACAGTGATGTGCACGCTCCTGCAGCTCATTCTACAACGTGCTCACTTTTTATTTGCTCGCTGTGGAAATGGAGAACTTGTGCAAAGCCAGCTCAGGTTTATTGCTCACATCAGTGCCCTGGGAAGCTGCGAGCAGGTCCTTGCACCACACAGCCCTTGCATCCACACTGCTGAAGGCACAGCAGCAGTGGGACTCCCCTGCCCCCAGTTCTTCTTTGGCTCTGCTTCCACAAAAATGCAGAATCCTTACTCTGGACGTGTGCTGACGCTTCTAAATGCCACTGCACTGCCCCTGCAGTGGCCAGAGCTGAGGACAGTGCATTGCTCCTTGTACCTGAGGGAGCCCCTTGTGCCATCAGAAAGAGAAGGGACAATGCCATCATCCCTTGGTGTATCTTTCCACTAGCTTTGCACACGAGGTAACACCACAGAAACTCAGTCCTGTCACGACTTTAAAATCACACTCAATTGGGAACACTTGTTTAGCCTTATTAAGAGTTTTATTAGCTCTAAAAATAGGTTCTTAAATATTTTCCAAGGTTGACTAAATATGAAAAACAATTATATAGTCAGTGTTTAAAATAAACCACAGTTTGTTACAACTGAGATCCATTCAGTGGAATAACATTTATCAAGAGTCATAGCATATAGAAAATTGTACAGCCTCTGCAAATCCACAGACAGCATTTCTCTGCTTGCTTTCAAACTGAGCAGCTCCTGAACCTAATTTTCTGATGTCCATCAGAATTCTTACCAACAAGAACACTGCAAGCATGGAAAGCAGTCTTTGGGTGAGAAGGCTGCGGGGTTTTTAATGAAAATAAAGAACCGGTCTATTGGAGTACCCCTTCTTTATATAATTTCTTATTGTTAAATGAAGACTTTTATAAATAATCTTACATAAATAATAATCTCAGAAGTTTTAAAAAGTTCACACCATCAGTCGGACCTGACTCAACATTCGCTGGTCTCTCATCGCTTAAAGTATTTCTGCAATTATTCTGGAATACAAGAATCCTGAATGTCTCTTGTTACAAGAGCAGATCATCTATTTTGGGCAAGAGTTAAGCTGCAGAGGAAGATTTGGCAGTTAAGTGAAATGCGTGTTACAGCTGATGGCTGCTTTTTTGTTTTATTGGAATAACTGAAAAGATTAAGTTGTAGTGCAGGTAGGGCTTGAGTCATGCTTTTATCGTTGCATCTCTTGGCCTGATATGAACTGTGTTATTAAAAATGGTAGCTCAACCTGACTCTGTACTTTGTTTATCTACAACCAAGCTCAGCCAAAGATCAGCTAGCCAGGTGAAAAAATGTAGTTGAAGGCTGTGTACATTCAGGCACTGCTAATTGCCTTCCGTGACTGTCAAATGACTACAGATCCTAACAGATTTCTTAGTATGCCTTTAAACAAAGCACTCTTATCTATGCATAAGGAAAAACACTACGCAGAGCAGAGCTAATACATGTTAACCTATGTCTCGATTTAATTTGTTATTTAGAAAAAAGAAAAAAAGGAAGCGATTTATCACCCCTTTTCGTTGCCAAAAGGAACTGCAGCACCGTCCAAAAGCTGGCGCCCTGGGAGATCCCAGTGTCAGCAGGACTGACGCCTCTTTTCCTCTTTAAATGATGTTTAAATGATCAGCAGCTTTGGTGTAGCGACTTTTTGCCTGTAAAGGAGCCGGGTGTATTTGTGACGGCCAGTAGAGCCCAGTAAAACCACCACAAGCCGCCATCTGACTCTGCGATGCCGAGAACCTGTTCGGGAGATGCAGATCCCCGCTCGGGAGCGCGTCCTGGCCCTTCGCTCGTGAAGAGCTTACCCGGAGCACCCGGGGAGATCGTGGGCAGCCGGAGGAGTAAAAGGTCCGGCAAGAGAAGCTTCGGAGGGAAGCCTGACGCAGGATCTAAGGAGCGAGCAACCCCAGACGACCACGAAGCACAAACACGCTGTGGGTTTTCTCTTCCTCAGATAAAAGTACCGGCGAGCCAGCCTAAACGCTGCCCGCGGACGACTAGTCAGAACAAGTTTAAACTCCAGAGCTCAAATTAAAATGTTTCCTCTGTGTGACTGCCTCCTGCGCCGGGAGGCTCCTCGCCTGCCCCACACTTGCCCGCAGTCCTCCGCCGCCCTCTGCCCCGGCACCGCGCTCCGCTCGGGGCTGGCCGCGGCGGGGCGGGCGGGCGCTACACCAGGGACTCGCAGACGGGCAGCGAGTCCGAGTCCTGGCTGTGCATGGAGCTCAGCCCCGTGTCCGAGTCCTCGTCGTTGTCGGCGCGGTCCTTGCGCAGCGCCCGCGCCTGCTCCACCCAGCCGCCCCCCGCCGCCGCCGGCCGCCCCCCGCCCGCCGCCCCGCGCGGCTCCGCCGCCGCCTCCGCCACGTCCAGGGTGCCCAGCGTCTCCAGCAGCCGCTGCAGCTCCCGCTCCTTGTCCTCCCACGCCCGCTGCGTGCAGTCCAGGTCGCTCTTGACGGCCTCCAGGTCCGTGCTCAGCTTGAGGCCGATGTAGAGGCTGGTGCTCAGCTGGGTCTTGACCCGCTCGTGCTCCAGGTGCAGCTCGCCCTCGCCGCCGCTCAGCTCCGTGGTGTCGCAGTCCGCGTCGGCCAGCCCGGGCCCCGCCGCCAGCTCCAGCTCCTCCCGCCGCCGCTTCATCCAGCGCTCGTTCAGCTCCTCCTGGATCTCGGCGGCCAGGTGCTCCAGCAGCTCCTCCTGCTGCGCCCGCTGCTCCTGCAGCTGCAGCACCTCCTCGCACTTCCTGGCGTAGTCCTCCTCGGGGCGGCCGGCGGCGGGCTGGCCCGGCTCCCGGCCCGGCTCGGGCTCGCCGCCGCCCGTGCCCACCAGGTAGGTGTCCTGCACGTAGTTGACGCCGTGCCGCTTCATGCGGTCCAGGTGGATCTTAGCCTCGTACCTGTCGATCTCGCGGTCCAGCTCGCGGAGCCGCTGGATCTGCTGTCGGATGGTGTGGTCCTGCGAGAGCACCAGGTGCACCAGCGTCTCCATCCTCTCCGCCGACGAGGCCTCCCGGGCCAGCGGCTGCTGCCGCTTCTTGTTGATCTTGGCCAGTTTGCGGAAGGCTTTCCGCACCACCCGCCGCTGCCGCTCCTGCGTGAGCGCCAGGCTGGCGCGGGCCGCCCCCAGGCCGCGGCCGGGGCGCTCCTTGCTCAGCACCACCCGCGCCTCGGCGCTGCGCGGCCCGGCGTTGGGCAGCGAAGCCTCGCTGCGCACCAGCACGAAGCGCACGTTCTCCTGCTCGTCCCCCCACGCCACCCAGAGCCGCAGGATCTTCGTCTTGTTGGGCAGGATCCTCTCGAAGCCGCGCCACTTCTCCACGATGCAGTAGGAGTGCGGCGGCCCCGACAGCATCCCGCCGGCGGGCTCGGGCGGCGCCGGGCGCTGCCGCCGGTGGTGGCTGTCCTCCAGCAGCACCCGCACCACGTCCGAGCAGGTGGTCCGCCGGGAGAGCCCGGAGATCAGCTTCTCCTCCTGGCAGATCCACACCGAGATCTTCCGCTCCTCGGGCTCCATCGGGGGCGGCTGCGGGCGGGCGGCCGGGGCCGCGGGCTCAGCGCTGGCCGGGCAGCCGCTCCATGGGGAGCGCTCGGCGGAGGCGCTGCCGCTGCCCGTCCGCCCGGCTTCGGCGCGGCCGGGATGCCTTGCCGTCCCCTCCCCGCCTGCGGCACCCCGCCCGTGCGCTCCGCCGGCCGCTCCACCCCTTCCTGCCCGGTGCGGCGGGGCCGCCGGGGGCGGGGGGCCGGCCCGGTGCGCCGGGAGCCGCCGCGGTGCCGTCCGCGCCCCCCGGGACTCGCTGTCCCCGCGGCTCACGCCCCGCGGCACGGCAGAGATCCGCCGGCGCGGACACCTCGGGGCAGGTGGCCGTCGCCTCCTCGTCCTCCTCCTCCTCCGTGCGCTGCCTGTGCCGCGATCGGGCGAGCGAGCGGCGTCGGGATCTTCCACAGTGCCGAGGGACAAGAGCGTATCCTGGAGCTTCAAAGGAATTTCCAGTTTTAGTAAATCATCCGCCTGTAATTAGGAAATTCATGTTTGTGAAGCACTTTGCAGATGAAATATGCAAAGGACGGGAATGTCTAAGTGTTATTAAAATACTAGCTGAGCCAGATTTTAATGGGAGCTTGCTGTGTACTTTGATGGGAACGGGATCGGTCTCGGATTAAAATGAGAAGATGAGAAAAATAGTAATAAAATGCAGGCTTATGGCACTGATTTTCACTGATTGCATCACAGGGTTCACGGACCTAGGCTTTTCTAAGTGATTGAGAAAGTACTATAATGGGCAAAGAAAGAAAACTGTCTGAAACCTGAAGGCTGATCTGTACCTTCCGAGGGAGTTCTAGAGCCAATAAAATCGGTGTGCCGTGCGGAGAGGGCTTTAACCTGGATAAGGTTTGTGTTCCAGTCAGCGTAACAGAACGGAGCCGCGGCGTTGCAACCTAACTCCTGTCGTCCTGCTGCTGGAAACAGCTGGAAACAGCGGAGCCGGGGCACACCGAACAGCGAGGGAGAATTATGTGTAGCCTAATGTCCTTTTTTCCCCCCTAGAGCAACAGGCTCGGTGTGGGCAGTGCGTGTGCGGGCTTCTCCATGTGTGTTTCCATGGAAGGACCGGTCCCGGGGAAGAAAGCCTGGCCCTGCTCTGGCTGCGTAATTGAGCTAATTGCGGTGGTGATTTGTGACGTGCGGCCTCCTGTCCCGCGAGGAAGTGGGCTGAGGGACCACCGGCTGCCAGCATTCCTGCAGCTGAAGGTCACAGGGATCACGTTCCTGCTGCCAGCGCCCCTTTCCTGTATTGCTGCAGGTCATAGGATTCCAAACCCAGCTGGCCGCTGCGTGTTGCAATAAGGGCACGCAAGATAGGGGTGATGGTAACAGGCTGGGTTTGCTTCCTAACCACAGCCACCTTAGCTTAAAGCTGCGTATTCCTGTCCAACGGCAAAGCCTGGCACTGCCAGTCCAAGGGCAAGGTGTTTTGCTCTCAGGACATGTCAGAAGTGCTGGATCGCTGTGCTTTGTGCAGAGGAAAGTGTTTGCTGACGGCAGGGTATTCCCAAAGTGGGCAGGTTTTGTTTGCAGTGAGTTGGTTATGCCTCAAAGCATCATCCACTCTGGGTCAGATTAAAGTGGGTCCAACAGTGGCAGTCCTGTAACATCCAGAAAAAAATGACATTAACAAAGGGGTTGGTCAGGACTCTGGAACACCCCTGACACTCACATTGCCACAAAATAATAGGATGTTGAGGAGGAAGGGGATGTGAAACAGGACACTGATTCAGCTTTGACTCTGGGAGGCTCCAAATTTTACAAAACCCTTCAGGAGAGCAGGAGAAGAAGCCTTGTTGCTTTCATCAGGCTGGTAGAAAGTTGGAAAAACAGACCATTCCTTGTTGTCTTCTGAAGAATCAGGCACAGCAAAGGGATTAATGAGGCAGTGAGAAACTGTCCAACTCCTTTCCCGGTGGTTCCTTGCCTTTGCCATTTAGTTTTGATCTTGTTTTACATGTGTTTTCTGAAGAATGTCTTTGTACCTATTTTCTTTTGGCAAAGAACAGTACAGGAAGAGCAGGTTGTGATGTGAAGAGGCATCTTCTGCTCCCCACAAGTCAAGCTGCTCCAACTCGTCTGACTGCCTGTATCTATCCGGTATCCAAGCCTGGCTTTGTGCAATGAAATGGCAAGATGATCGTTCCATCTTTCCATGACCACATCTCTGTGTATGGAAAGCTGGCTCTGCCTCCCCAGTGAAGCCCCCAAGGCAGCATTGCCAGAGAGAGGATGAAGATGTTGGCAGTTTGGTTGGAAGCAGTAAGAGTACAAGTAAGATTAAGAAGGCAAACACTTGCTTTTGTTTGGATATACCTATTAGATGAGCATGTATATGATCCACAGTTAAAAAGATGACATTCAAAATTCATGTTGCTGCTTCTCAAGTTTAACCCTCAGGAATTTGGGTTTAGTCTGTCTGCACACTCAGGAAACTGCTGGCAAAGCTTCAAAAGTTTGAGGTGCTGTATCTGAAGCAAAGTTTGGGCCCTGCTGTGCTGAATCCCAAAAGCCAACTGAAGACAGGCAACCTTTTGCCTTTCCTCCCAGGATCTTAAAGCATCCTGCAGAGGAAGGTGGTGCTCTTATCTAATTTTAAATATAAGAATGCTCTGGCACAAAGGAACCCCGAAGGTTGTACAGCAAGGCAGTGGGCAGTGTTGTGAAGTAAATCAGGTTCCTTCACTCTGGCACCATTATGCACTGAACTCCATCCTCTCCTCCTTTCCTTCTTTTAATTATTCCATAAGAAAAGGAGATGAGGAGGAATATATTCATAAATCAGTGAATCAGTAAATCAGGTTCCTTCACTCTGGCACCATTAGGCACTGAACTCCATTCTCTCCTCCTCTCCTTTTAATTATCCCGTAAGGAAGGGAGATGAGGAGGAATATATTCATTCAACAGCTACAGATGGTGATAGAAGTGCAAGCTCAGTGGATAGTATTTCCCTCTGGTGAAGCAAAGTGGCACACAGGCTCCTTCAAACATCTCCTCCCTGGTGGAGGCAAATCTCCAGCCAGCTGTGCCTGCAAACCAGCAGCACTCAACAGCACCATTGGAATATCAAATTCCAGAGAAGGACAGCTGCTCCTCTCTCCACTTTTTTCCCCACAGAGCAGTGATGCATGAGGTCTCCTATAACTTCTGCAACAAGCCTATCACATAATTAAAATTTCAAATGTAGTAACTGTGGTCTCCTGTAATGCAGAGGCTGTTTCTCTATTGCCTTATCACTGCACAGCTGACAGCACATTCTTTTTCGGAAGCACAAACTTCCTTGACAGAATGGTATCCAGAACTTCCTTCATGGCCTGGATTTTTTTTTTGGTTTGTTTTATAAATTGCAAAAATGCAAAGTTGATAATACTCTTAAGAGCTGCCTAAGCCCCAAAAGGAGATTTATGAGCTTAATATTTTAGGCTGTATTGAAAAGTTCATGTCCAGGTATAGACAGGAGTTTATTTTTATGGACTACAGGAAAATTACAAGGCCAAGTGATGAGAAATCAGATCTATTTTAGCATTTAATGTGAAGTTCTTTTTATTCTTTCCTTTTCATTGAGGTATGCAAATAAATTACCAAGTCTTTTGTGGTAAGAACAGCATTCCCAATAGGGGGTTGGATGGTGAGGTATCTATGTCTGTTTTTTTTTTTTTTTTTTTAATTTGAGCTGAACTATCAGAATGAAATTGGAGCCCTGATATTTTTAATAAACAAAATTATACAAGACCTTATCTTTATTTTTTTGAAACAAAACCAAATAAATGCTAATGTATTTTCTGCTTCCATAATTCATATAGAAGAAATGAGGAGGAGGTCTTAGAACCCTCTGTTTGAGACAAAAAAATAATTTATTTTAAATACACTTAAATTGAGAAAGTGTATAGATTCATATTCAGGGTATTTTTCTTTTTTTTTTTTTTTTTTTCAGTGAAGTTGTTTTTATTTTTTTTTTTTTTTTTTTGACAATTTACTTATTTTTCCCGAGGTTACAGTTCA